AAAAGAATAAAAATAATACGAAGAAATGGTAAACTCTAAAGAAAGAAGGAATTGTAAAAATGATAAAAGTTATCAAGGAAAATATCAAATATAATGAATTAATTTCTTCCCACATATCGTTGCAGATTATTGTGAGTGCTTCTTTTCGAAATAACATCTCTTTAGTTCTTTTCCATTTATCCATTAAGATATCAATGTATCTGTCATAACGATGTGAAAAATACACACGCACACGTTGTGTTTTTATGTGTGGGTGCATAAATCGTACCTATTGCTTTTTTTTATTTGCATCACGTAGTACGTAGGTCATCTAAAATTATATTTCGTCCGCCATTGATCTTATTTTCCATGAGAACGATTATCTATTATTACTTATATTGCCGAAGTTTCCGTTGATTATTGTTTGAAACGCTTCAAAAATTACTTGGTAAAGTAATTGCTAGGAAAATGAGACAATCTCTGCGCATTGGAAATATGGCCAGAAATCAAAGTAATCATAAATCCAGAAATATCGATATGTGCCTGGAATTAAGATACTCTCTTTCTTTGATTTTGTTTTGTTCTTTTTATTTATTTTACTAAAAACAAACGAGAAATGTTATAATCGAACAAATCAATCCTACCGGACATATATGAGAATTAGTTATCGATACATTTTGAATTTTATAACAGTTTCTCACAAATCAGAAAATCGATACTAAATGTGAGCTTACAATAAAAGGAGCTTATGGCCAGAATTTTCCTTGACATTTCTCTTGATAGAATGCGCAAGCGCTCGATAAAAATGATGAGCCTGCTCGGTGATTGCTCAATCAAAGATAGAGCATCGTTCCTCAAGAGATGTTGTATGTATATAAGGTGTTTTAATTGAGTATCTAAATATATAATGTTAGTTATAGTAATCAAAACTTCTTAAACCACTTTTGACACTTTCGATCATTCAAGGTAACTTTGTTCTATGCACCTTTTTTTACTTATGGATGTAGTCGATCATGGCTCTCTACAACTTTCTTTTTTCTTTTACTGACCCTATTTGACTCTTACCGCTCGTTTTTGTGTTTATGATTCTTGTTCTGTCATCCATTTATTCACACACGTTAAGCAAGTTATCCGCTTGTTCCACTTTCTTGCTTTTCCTATAATATACCCTGAGGACGTAACATTATCCAAGCCTTGTTTCCTCGTTATACGTCCCAGAACCTTTAGCTGTATTGTTCTGACATCAGCTGTTTCATTATAATACCTATTCCTCTAAAAGAATCCTCATTTTTTCAAATACCCTCTCCTTGATATTCTCAGCAGTCGTTTGTAAAATCACATTTCAAATCCCTTCAAACGTCTTTTTCATCTGTGAAGAGACTGCCCATCAGTCACTGCTATATATGTGATTAGATATTAAACCTTAATTACTTTTTTCCTTCTAAGAAAATTTTCGATCTTTTAATATTTTGCTCAGTTTCTGAAAGACATCTATTACTTTGTTTCTACTGATATTTTCCTGTCTTATTAGTTTACTTAGCTTCGGAAAGTAATCTTTCGCTATTCCAATGTAGATTTAGACACCATATATTATGTCCTCTGTTACGAAACTATTTAAAGAATTAAATTTCTTGACATCCGCGAGACACACACAGCTCAGCCTTCGGCTGTTTCTTTTGCTGGTAACCATGTGCTTATGTGTTCTTATAATTAATAGTTAGCCGTTTCTACTTGTTTATCTTCTTTTGTAAATACGTCAGTTTCTTTTCGGATTCTGCCATCAACACAGTGCCTCTACGTAGTGTATGTTAAGGCTATATCCGTCGATAATAAATCCTAATGGTTTTGCTTTTCATGCTATAAAATCCGGTGCTTTCCAATAAAGCCTTTCTGTGTCTTTTAGCTTTTTTACCTTTCTTAATAATATGCCGAAAATGTTATTTCCTTCGCCCTTTAAATATTAAAATCAATAAACAAAATATGCACCAATTTGGTATCTGTCTATATTCCTGAGATGAGGTTTTATGTACACTATTTACATTGTTCGGACTATCGTCCTCATCTTTGTTGCCATATTTATCACAACGTTTCGAACGTTGTATGCTCCGGGCTTATTCAGGCGGTTGGAATATCGAACTGAACCCATTATTTCACTAGCTGGGATAGACTGTTCTTGTTCCACGTGCCATGTCTAATGGATATCAGCTATCAGTTATCTCCTGTTAATTCACCTCTCCAAGTTCTCCACCGTCATAACCCGCTATTGAACTGCATCAATTTTCATGATTAAAAAGGGGCACTGATATTAAACGCTTACAGTCACAATTGATTTAACTTCAAAAACAAAATGAAATTTGAAGGCAAGATTTTAGGACAATTTGATATATTTAGAAAAAAAAACATTCTCGGGTACTTAATAAAGATTAATACCACAATTTATAGATGCAACTCCAAAAATCTAGATGATCAAAGCCTTGCAGCTGATCTCACGTCTGATCTAGCTCTAACAGCACATCTAGGACACGATATACCACGTAAACCAGGATCGAACCATTCTCATTCCCTTCGTACTTAATTAGTAAGAAGGAAGTTACACTCCGACAGCTTCTTCTTGAGAACCGGTGCTTTGTGGAACAGGCTTCCGTGAGATTACTTCCCCGTTCGCTAAAATTGTAACCTCTTCATATTTAATGTCACCCGTTATCTATCCTACATAACCTCATAATCTGCCCTTTCTTTCCTCCTATAACGTCCATACAACAACTTTATTCGTTAACGCTCTACATCGAGGCTTGTAATGGGTAAACATTTAGCTATATATATACTTAAAGTTTTTACAAATATTAAACCTAAAAATAAGGCATTTTTAGATACGTTAGTGATAAACAGGATAGAATTAAGGCAAGATGTTTTTTTAAATATCTTTGGATAATTGTTATGTCATCATTTTAATATTACGGAATGTATGGGTTTTTTTTAATGTGTGGATTCGTTCACATGTTAAATGTACAATCTCAGTTTTATTGCCATAAATGGTAAATAGTCATCCTGAATCTAGTAGCATTTTTTAAAATCTGTCATTTTCACTCGCGGCGTCGCTTCTTTTTGTACATGACCTTGGTAACTTCCATTTCAAGAAGGCCTGCTCTAATGTGTTACTTACCGAGCAAATATTGCAAGTGTGCAAATATGCAAGTGTGCAAATATGCAAGTGTGCAAATGCGCATGATTAAATTACTGAAAAACAGTTTAGAATTTTCATATGATGCAAGCACCTAGAGAAGGATTGAGAGTACATTGGCCAAAACATTGTGCTAAAAACAACAAAGATAAGGATATTAGCATAATTCACGAAAAAAATGTCAATGATTAATCTTAGGGTATAATTGAATATGTCAATAATTGTCATTGTTTTTCTTCTTTGATTTAATGTAAATCTTTCGTTGCTTTCCTGAACAAATTTCAAGTGTTTCTCGAATATTTGGTTCATAATACATGTCGGAAAGACGTGAAACGTCGTTAATGTGGTTTCTAAGTAAATCTTTGTAATCCTGAAACAACGAAAGATTTTTTTTTTCATATTCTCTGTGCATGTAGTTGCTGGCATAGTTTCTCTTTGCGATCAGAGAAAGTGAAAAATCCGCTGTTAATAATCGATGCACTGTTTGTTGCTGTTTCAAATCCTTCTGCCTTTTCGTGCTGAGGCGAAAAAGCGAAACGTTGTCAGAAGGAAACAGAGAATCGATTTTATTTTACAACAAAACCAGGTGATCGATTTTTAATTCGATCCCAATTATCTTCCAGCTTCACATCAAACAACTCACTCTGGCCGTTCTATATGACAGCCCAGTAGTTAAAAAGCCGGGTCCAATTTAGGAGGTTTTCGTTGCTTCGTTTGGCAAACCATGAATTCTTCTTTTACTTACCATGGCCATTCAGGGCGTAGATCATGGCTCGCCACAACTTCTTTTGCTCTAAATAACTTTTTACCATTCTTCTTTGTTCCTTTTCTGTTATCCATTCACATAAACTCATTAAGTATGTGACTCGTTATTTTCCATGCAATTCTTACCTTCCATATTTAGTATGAGTGTTCAATAAATTCTCCAGACGCTGTTTCCTCATTATGTGTTCCAGAAAGTTAAGCTTTTATTTGTATATATATATATATATATATATATATATATATATATATATATATATATATATATATATATAATATATATATATATATATATATATATATATATATATATATATATATATATATATATATATATATATATATAAAATCAAGGATGTGCGGATAATGTAACGGTATGGAAAATAAAACCAGATTACTGAGTTCAATTTTAGTTCGATTTTATGATTTAAGTGCTCTTAGAAAATTAATAATTTTTCTTCCAGTTATATGTTAAAAAGCAGGATAGACGAGGTTTTCTTGCTTTGAGGTACCAACCAGTCTAGAAGGATTTGAATTCAAAACTAACCTGAAGAGGAATGTTGTTTTTTTGTTTTTTTTTAGATTATCTTGCCTTAAACAAACTTAGGCAGCTACAGCCGCTATACATATGGTGCAGGACAATCTCCTAATACTGGGAATTTATTGACGGGGCGAGTAAGCAACAAGGAAGTCTTGAAGAAAATGCCAACAGAAAGAATACTTATAATCAAAACCAGGAAAAGAGAGCTGAATTTCCTTGGACGCTTAACAGGGAAGGGGGTCTTTGAAAACTTAACCCTGGTGGAACAAAAGAGATAAGGGAAGGCAGCGAGCCACTAACCTGATGAGCTCGCGTGAATGGATAGAAGAACAGGGTGACGGGGGCCTTATCAAAGGGAGAGAAAAAACTGCTAAGGGCCACAAGAGACAGGAAGTCGTGGAGAGAAATGATCGCCTATATTCTGAAGAGACGCGGCACATAGAAGAAGAAGAATCAAGAAATCGATACCCATCCGTCTAAATCAATATCTGTGACACTACACGTTGAGGGATTTTTATTTTTATACGGTCTGATGATATGCGTTGTGAACTTCTGTTCGAGCCGACACAAACCACTGCGAGACTTGACAGACTCTCTCTCTCTCTCTCTCTCTCTCTCTCTCTCTCTCTCTCTCTCTCTCTAAAATCTATGTTGTAAAATCCAATCTATTGTGTATATACATATGTATATATATATATATATATAAATTACATTTTAGGCTTTGCACTTCTCCTATGGATTAGGGGCATTTATCAGTCCAATGGTTGCAGAACCTTTTTTGCTGAATGTTGACTGTACGCCTTACATTGATGGTTATTCTATCCACAAAACGGCTAACCTGTCAAGCACCAACCCGGAAGATGTAACCGTGCCACCTTCCCCTTCAAGATTGGCAACTGTCCAGCACGAAAGCAGGCTAAAAGACGCCTTTTATATCATTGGAACTATTCAAGTAAGTAAAAGCACTTCTTTTTCTCGCTTCCTTGCATGTTTATGTACTCGAATATACAAGAATATACCCACAAAGGTGGTAATCTATGGTAGTCCACGAATTATTTGAAAAAATATAACAACATCAGAACATTATTGAAATTTGTCAATGGAAGTAAAAGCTGTTTTCTTTTTGTGTATGTGACTGTATGTGGGTGTTGTGATTTTGCTTGGGTATTTTTTTTCTTTCTGATTTTTTTTATTTCTTATTGTTTCGCTATTATTTGGACATGCAAATAAGTTGTGGGGAGTTCTTTGTCTAAGTGCACACCCGCCCGTTCTCTTTTTGATCAAATACTGTGGAATCTCAGTGACTAAATATTTCAAGCTATCTGGAGGTGGAAATCAACGCACAAGAAAACTGGGAGTCATGCTTTTCCCAATAGTATTTGTGAAGAAAACCGAATAAGCAACATCCAACATCGAGCTGACTTCGAAATCAGTATTCTCTCTGACGCTTGTTTCCATAACATTTAATTCTTGAAAATATTCCTCAAGTATACCGTCCACAAACATTGCTTTTAATAAAAGTTTCTTTTTAAAATTGATGGATATACAGAAACTAGCCATTTTTAATAGTTTCGTGAAGTTTATTAAATTTTACTTAAGCAGTTCAGGATTGTTTTAAGTGAATGTGATAGTTTTCTAAGTCTAATTTATAAGTGGTACAAGGCCAAAAATATGGGGCACCCAGTGCGGATCGAAAACACTTGTCAGTTGTAACTGATCTAGCGAGACAAGCTTGCTAACCATTACACCACGTTGAAGTAAAGAACCGGTTTCGGCTCGTCGGGTCTAACGACAGTTTCCCTCTGTTCAGTGGGACGAATCCTGCCGGAAAACGCATATTTTCCTATAAAAAGATTTTTTCGAATATTCACACCAGTAGACGAAAATAAATAAATATATAAACAGTGGTATACTCAAATATGAGTATCCACTAAAAATAACATTTAAAGTGATATATATATATATATATATATATATATATATATATATATATATATATATATATATTTACTTTTCCTAATTGTTCACTCAATACAAATCCCAAAAGCCACCTAAGAAAGAGGGTCAATGAATGAGGTTATTGTATGAACGTAATAGAAGAATTTAGTAAGTACAGATTATGAGTATATGTAGGATAGATTGACCCTAGACTTGAAGAGATTAAATTTTAGGGATAGGAGAAGCATCCTCTCGGGAGTTTTTTCTTGAGAAGAAGCTGCCCAAGTGGAAATTTCTTCTTACTAATGGAATAGGATATGGATATGAGGATAATTCGATCCAGTGTACAATGGTGTATAGTGGGTCTTTGCTGTGAAGGCCTGAACTCGCGGAACAAATGATGTCGCTAGTCAGAGCATTTGCCATAGAAATAGCGATAGATTAATGCTAGGTTTGGAAGTTTCGCCTATAGAAAGGGTTTCTACAGTGGAAAATAATTAATCACCTACAAGGCCATGTAGACACTTTTGAATTCAAGGCGGGAAAGTACGGAATCGGAAGTTCTAACCCAGATATGACAGCATTTAGTCTTTATCTGGCTCTTGTAAAATTAAAGCATAGCAGGACGAGTGGAATGTTTAAAATATTATGCTTCTAATTGTAACAAAATCTAAGTCTTTTTTTGTTCCAATCTATCAGCTCCATTCTTGTGTCAATCAGTTTGATTCCTATGTTTCGTAATATGAAGCCGCCTTAAATTGTCAAAACTAAGTCTTTTGCGCAATTCAGTGTCAATCATTGTTCCTACCCACTCGTGTGTTTTTACGAAGTTCCTAAATTCATTTATAATGCACTTTACAATTTCGTCTTTTTCTTCAAAAAAGAGGCATTTCTTTTCTTCTGGGGTTTTACTATCTTTGCTTTTATAAAATTGGTTCTTAAATACTTTTTAATTGTTGCGTGATTAGATATTGTTTTCCTCTTCAAGTTTATTGTGCATAGATAAACGCGCAGTTTTTTTCCTCTTCATGAAAAAAAACCACCGATTTTTCTTTTTTTTTTAATGTTTTTTTCTCTTTTCCTGTATGTACTGTCTTTTTTATCGCTTTTTGTAGCTTCCAGCAGTTTTTATAATACTATCACTTCCCTGTAGTGAACAAGTTCCGGTTTAATTGTTTGAACACTGTCCGAGATGTTAATCTATCTTCTTTCACACTTTCTTTTTACATATTGTCTGTAGAGCCTTATTCATAGACATTTACTTCTTAGTCGATTTAAGTTCCTCTTTTTTTCTTTTTTTTTTTTGGTCTAAAACGGTTCCTGTCTATCTCACTATTGATACTGTCTACATGTTTATACTTCTACTAAAATTCTATTCTTTACTTTTGGTTCTAGTTTGTTTGTTTTTGTTTTGTTTTTTCTTATTTTCTTGGATATTTGTTATGATTTCTTACATTTTCTCTTGCTTTGTATTCGAATACTCCTGTGACACCGCACAATAGGCTTAGGAAGTACACCTAGTGAGGTGGCTTGTAAATGATTTGATCTCCGCCTGAAGTTCCGGTGGTTTTATGACAAGCAGTAAAATCGAGATGTGAATATTTCAAAATAAACACCCGCTATCCAGGAGTAGGGAAAAGGATATGAATAAATAAATAAAAACTCTTAGGAATCAAGTGCTACTCGGCTGGACGGTAGCTAATATATAATCTGATGGCATGATAGATAACAATTAGGTTAGAGTAAATGGAGTGACAAGCCGTTTGCCATGATATAAATATTGGTAGAGAAGCGAGTCGACTGTCAGAGGCGATTCAGAAGCCGTCGGTCGGAGGTATAGAGAATTCAGGATCATGGAGACCTTGGGAAAGACTGACAGTCACATTCAAAAAGGGTAGCGACAGCGACGGTTTTAGTTAGTCTTAGATGGGCAGAGAACTAACCAGGGTTCTCGCTTGGCGAAAGGAGTAAATGATACCTTAGTCTGTCGTGTGAGAAAACAGAAACCGAAGCGAAGATGTCTCGAGTGTCACTTAACTACTTACTCACAACCGAACCGTGCCAGGTGAACCTATGAATAAAGAATTCAGTGGATTTAAAATGGGATTTGTGTTCTCTTTTCCCGCATGGTGATAATCAATCTTCCGTTCTTTTGTTGAACGTAAACTGGGACTTTGATCATTTTGTTTACGCCGACATACACATAAATTGAAATATATCGTAGGGTGAAACTATTATGTTATTAAAAGACTGGCTTAGGGCATCAGCGTTAAAACTACACGCCATAGTATTTGTAGCGTTTTCTTTTGTGGGGTGCTTTATTTTTGTGCTTATTTCTTTTGTTGTTGTTGTTGTTGTTGTTTGGAGGATGTTAATGGACTGCATGTTTTGATATCTGACAGTTCAGTTCGCTTTTTACACCTTAAATCCGCCTGCCAGTTAATCGAAAGGATTTTTTTAAAAATTTTACTCGATTTGAATTTCTTGTTCTTTTCCTCTCTTTCAGTTGCCTGTGACTTTGCTGGTGGCCATAGTTGTCATCAAAAAAAGCCAACAAATGAGTGGTAACTTCATACAACGAACAAGCGCTTTTATCAGAGAGAAACCAGCAAGCGGTGAGTCATCATTTTTTCTTTTTTTTTTTTTTCTTTACGCCAGCCCCAGTGCACTTTCAACGCCTGCATGCTTAATGCCTGAAATAGCTATGCATACCCCGCTAATACCATTTGTTGATTTTCAGAACCAGGTACAATCCAAGACTTTGAATGCAAGTCAGCGAAGTAGATAAGCCCTTAACATTAAAAAGATCGGTGCAATTCTATCTTCCAACCTTCCCTCATTAACTTGGCCAAGGGCCAGTCAATTTTCTTTTTAACAATTATCCATACACTATGAAAATATTTGTCTTCTATAATTATTCACAAACAAAACTATAATTAGGTTTTTTCCAAACTTCTTAAAGGAAATCAAACTTTATACTCATATATAAAACTACGAAAACTCCCTATAAAGCTACGTAATATATATTGAAAACAAAAAGTTAAAATTACTCTTCAGACTTCATACAGATGCCCACTAAAAATAACAATGCGAACTCTAATAACGAACATGTAAAAAAAAAGGAATTAAAATAACTTTTATTAGAAACCAGAATCTCTAATAACTGATTAAAACAACTTACATCAGCAAATTTGTACGCAAAACTATCACTGATTCGCATATAATACCAAGCTATTCCCAGAACAACCACAATTCAAAACTAGACTTAAAGAACTCTCTAGTGGTTGATGGACTGTTTCAAATCAATTTAAACTCCTATTACAAACAATTATTTTAGTTTTTATTATTTATGCCTCTTGATTTCTTGAGGAACATAGGGCATCAACAATACCTCCCCAACGGACGTTTTTTCCGTGTGATCCTCTTCAGCTCGGCCCATGTCGTGCTGGCTACCTTTAGCTCTGTGTCAACACTTCTGCGCCAAGTTTGTTTTGGTCGACCTAATTTTCGCTTCCTTTGTGGATTTTAGTCAAGGGCCTGCCTGCCTGCCTGCCTGCCTGCCTGCCTGCCTGCCTGCCTGGTGACATTAGAAGCAGTTTGCGGAGTGTGTGTCCGGTCCATCCCCATTTCTGTTTCTTAATATCAATCTCGATTGGGGCTTGTCTGGTCCTGTTCCACAGTTGGTCGTTGGAGGCGACTTCCGGTCACCTGATATTGAGGATGTTCTTGAGACCTCGGTTGGTAGATGTTTGAAATTTGTTACAAGCAATAGTCTTTTAAAATTAAAGTTATACAATGAAGATGCATTTTTAGCAGCAACAGTAATTATTTACGTTGGTTAAGAAAATATACAAAAATAGTTCGTTTTACATTCTAATAGTCCTTCCCAAGTCACTGGATATCTTCATAATAATTAACTTACAATCGCTTTATTTGGATACCATACCGAAGCCAAAATTTCTGCGTGGAGAGATCATTTTCAATAAAAAATATGGGATATTTTGCTCGGGGAAGCGGCATAGGCGTCAGAAAATTTTTTTTTGCTTTTAAGAAAAAAATTGAGAAAAATCTTTTTAAGTGAGGCTAGTAATTTCTTTTTTATGAAAGTGCCTACAGATATCTCTCGTTCAGAGTCATGTTCACATCTACACATACCCACATACATACATACACACGCTTGCATATCAGCGCCTGCAGCCTTGGAAATATCCTCAGGTTTGAAGCCAAACTCATGAATGATGGTCTTACAAAACAGTGGCGTGCCCACACGCAAAATGCATCTCTTTGATCAAAAAGTGAAGATATATGTTAGATATTAATAATATGATAGATAGATAGATAGATAGATAGATAGATAGAAAAATAGATAGATAGATAAAAGAGCACACGAAATATATCCGTATTTAGTTTAGTAATAGCAATATGTTATCTAAATAGAACTATATATATATGTGTGTGTGTGAAAAGTGTGTGTATATAAATATAGATATATTTATATATGTAATATATTATATACATTATTATTTATATATTATATGCGCGGTACTTATGTGAAAGCGCTCAATATCAGAGATACATACATATGTCAAGTACCATACTGTCCACATATGTTTATGTTTGTATGATCACCGGCGGCCATGCGCGTTTGTATGTGTGTCTGCGTACCTCAACGGGTGTACGGACATGCATCTATGTTTGCGATAGTATGTGTGACATCACGACAACGATTTCCAACCATATATATATATATATATATATATATATATATATATATATATTCAACATCATCACTTGATAAGACACTGGAGGTATTGAAACAAAATGGCTATTTTTGTTGTGATTTCATAACATATTTATGTTGTAATTTTTAAATAAATAATATATATATATATATATATATATATATATATATATATATATATATATATATAATACATAAAAGGTAAATGATCAGAGTTGATTCAGATCAGGAAACAGTGGTATTAAAAAGTGCTCAATTCACGTGTGAAAAAAAGAAAATGAAACTAAAAGTACCATGTAGAGTTTTTTTTTTTTTTTCAGAATTACATAAAATATTCAATAAAAACAATTAAATTAAGCTACAGATAAACCCTCAGAAATTTCAAAACTAACGCGCCGCGAAATATAATTAACTCTGGTAATCTATGCAACTGTAGAAATAATAATAAATGTTCATTAGATGGGGCTTGTAAAACAAGAGCTATAATTTATAAAGCAGAAGTAACAGATATTAATGGCAAAAAAACATATAAAGGTTCTTTAGAAATGTAGATGGTACAATCATAAGTCGTCATTCAAGCTAGTAAATCTTAGGTAGTCTACCAAATTCGCTGACCATGTGTGGAACTTAAAAGAAAAAACAAAAGGGATCTGATTGTTAGGTAGAACATTTTTTTTAAAAAAAAGGAAAGCCTTATAACAACCACAACAATATTTTCAAACTCTGCCAACAGGAATAATTAGCAATTATGACATTTCCGAATCCATAGAACATTCTGAACTAGAAATCCGAAGTCTTAAGTCTTGGCATACATATTAAGAAATTCGACTTATGCACTCCTTCCTTCCTTTTCATGATCCTCCACCCTTTCTTTTACACTAAACCTTTTATTTATTAAAAAAATAATATATCATTAGTTTAAAAAAAAAAAGGCATTAAGAGGTCATTTGAAAAAATTCGCTTTTTTTGAAACCAATCTATGGATTCAATATTATCTCCTGATTTGAAATATATATATATATATATATATATATTAAGAAAAATAAAGGTCCGACAATTTATTTATTAAAGACATTTTTATTTATGTTTAACGTTGTTATTTTTATAGATACAAGTATTTAAACAAATGCTCTGTTTATGATAAACAGTATTAAATAACATTTACCGGCCTGAATGTCCGAGAAATTTTCATAGAAAATATTCGTTCATAGACAGGATTCGAACCTGCATCCTATACGGAACCGTCATATACGCTGACGTGCCTTGACCACTCGGCCACAATGAACCTTATGTAGACAAAATAAAATGTACTTTAAATAAATCCAAATACATGTCGGGCGTATCGTCCATTTCTTAACATATGACGTCATTTGTTTACATTCGATACGCCAGAGCAGTTATGAATGTACGAGATTCATGGAAGATTGTAGTTTATAACAGTAAATTCGACCTTGTCTACCATAAGGTTATTTGGTGGCCGAGTGGTCAAGGCACGTCAGCGTATATGACGGTTCCGTATAGGATGCAGGTTCGAATCCTGTCAATGAACGAATATTTTCTATGAAAATTTCTCGGACATTCAGGCCGGTAAATGTTATTTAATACTGTTTATCATAAACAGAGCATTTGCTTAAATACTTGTATCTATAAAAATAACAACGTTAAACATAAATAAAAAAATGTCTTTAATAAATAAATTGTCGGACCTTGTCCATTTCTTAACATATATATATATTTTATATACCTGTTTCTTGTATAAATATATGTTTTTTAAAAGAAAAAAACATTTATTATAAATAAAGAATTGGAGAAAACAACGTTAAAAATCACAAACCCTGAATCACAAGATTTTTTACAAAAACATGTCAATAGAAAAAAATTGATATTTAACAAAAAACATATACACATAAACACACAATGTAACAATAAAACATAAATATATATATATATATATAAAACCAAACTTTCAAAATTTAAACATTTGTCTTGATAATGGAAAAAGTAATTCTGAAAAAAAAATGTATATTTGGCGGTTTCAACATCGATGGTTCCTGAACAGTTAAATCTACTAAAATTTTTTCTGGGAATTCTCGGTTCAAACCGTTTATGGTTTTCAAAATAATTACAAAACCATGTGATAAATGGGAAAAACTAAAAGATGCGGATCAATAACATCAAGCAATCACCTTCTTAACAAATCGTGAGATTCGTCTTATAGTTGGGAAGCGAACCACCAGGACACGCGAACATTATTATAATTAAGTGCCTTAACGTAATATTAAAGCACTTATCAACACTGCCAAACGTTTTAACATATCCTGATTCTCGTCTCTGTTTTAAGTTTTCCTCCTTGCTAATCCAGTTAGCAGTATTTATTTTCCTCCCTATGAAGGGGAACAAACGTCAGGTTTAATTAAGGGCGCTGTGCGCGTATGTATGAGTAGAAACAGAAATTATCCTGTTTATTAGATTATTTTTTTAGCATTTAAAACTTATATTAAATGTTTTGATCTTTGAAAAATCTTATGCAATATAGAGATGCAATTTTGTAGAGAACGGCACCTAGAACAAAACATTCTACATCTCTGTTTCAGAAGTAAAGTAGTTCGATTGTCATTGCTAATTATTACTCGACCGTCTAAATTCATTTCATTGACACCAATTCATTCTTTTCACAGATGATCATATAGATATATTATATATTGATAATACTGTTTCACCTACGCCAATCGTCGCACAATTCTAATCACTTTACTTGCATCAGCCACCATGTTTATTTTCGATGGCTTACAGGTAAGTCACTAACATTAATCAAATTCGAAAGATTAAATTGAAATATGGAAAAGCAATCATTTAATATTTTTAGATTCGCTCAGGATAATTTGCAAGAAATATATTTTATATATTCATATATAAACTATTTTTTTATAAGCGTAGATAGGTTCGCTTTTCGCCCGGTTCACACTCCTTATCCCCTCCATTGAATAGGAGTAGAAGTTTATCCTTTGTTTCCTGTTTGGGATTGGGTTTCCGGTTCCTTCTAAAGTTTTCTTTTTTTTTTTTTCACTCCCAATAACCTCTTGTGTTTTAGTGGCATTATCGCTTTGCTTGGAGTGAAATGATTAAAATGAAAAAGAAAATCTTGAATATCCATTGCATTAATATATCCAATACTACCTGGAATATTCGAAACCTTACCGAATGGCGTCTACGTTTTTGCTAGCATTCCTATTGGAAATTGCAATATAACTTGACTTTGGTAAATGAATTTAAACTTATTAACTCAGTTACTACTACTTTGCATATTTGAACTCTTACACAATGTCATTTTTGTTTTTGTTACTTATCGTTAGAAAATTCGATATATGAATACTTACGACTAAGTTTGGTAAATCAATTAAACGCATTAAATGTAGCTAAATTGCGTAATCAAACGGGCTTTTGTTTTTGTTTTTTTTAACGTTATTTCATTTAAAAATAGCATCGCAATTTTATATTTAAAGTACCGCTATTTCCATGGAAAATGTTCTGACGAGCGACATTCCTTACTTCTCACCAGTTCAGACCTTTACAGCTAAGACTCGAAATGCCATCTATACAGGGCCAAAGCATCCGTTTTCCCTCCGTATTCCATTGGTAAGAAGAAAGTTCCATTCGGAAAACTTCTTCCCAAGATCCGATATTTTTTTTAAGACTATCAACGGATGCTGAATCTGAAATACTGTTTTTTTAATTTCTTAACGCCAATGGTCAAAACGTTATCTATCTACATGATTATATAAAATATACAATTCTTAAATCCATACGACAACCTATTTTGTTTAACCCTCGACTTTAGAAATCTTCTATTGTTGAATAATAGCGTTTTCATTTTTTGATACTCATTGGAACGTTATTTTATGGGGAGATCTTCTTAATATTATATACACAGGGTCATATTTACAGAAATGTGCTTAAATTCATGGCTTACGGTCATGCCGGATCGTTGAAACAAAGATTTTAAACGATCACCGAAGTTATTAAGAAACAAAAAAATGTTTAGTACCTAAAAATAGTTATCGCTCGTTACTACAAAGAATGCTTTAAGCCTGGATATAAATATATAACGGATAAATCGAATTTAAAATTTCGGAGAGCAGAGTGAAATTCCAGAAAGGTTCGTTATTTTTACTTGAAAAAATACGAATTTGGGAATGATAAAATTTAATTCTTATTTTAGTCTATGGAAAATAAAAGAAAAAAAAATTTTTATTATCCCCCAAAATTATTTATAAAAAAAAAATTTTTTTTTTTAAATAAACGCAAAAGCGTTGATAAGTCATAAAAAAACAAATCAACCAAATTGAAATTCATATATGCCAATTATGTTATAAAAACGCTGTTAAAAAATTATCCTTCTTTTCTATAATTAAAAATATATAAAAGGACCTTGATATCTTTTTTTCTAAACTCAGATTTTTTTTTTGTAGATGATGTTGATGATAATGATTATATAATAATAATAATAATAATAATAAATAATGGTTTTTTCTTGACTTAAATTTTTTACTAGTTAATTTTACACTACTAGTTTAATACATATTAAAATGAGTCATTGCTTTCGAAGGCTAAAATATTAAGGAAGCCTGTGATTTTCGAACTCACTTCTTAGGACCTACATGACTATTGAAGTGATCGAGGTATCAATATCACTCAATATGTTTTCAAAGCAAACGATACAGAATTAAATCAAAATGCAAGTCACGCTGAAATTTTATTAGCCATTTCTTCCATAGGAATAAAATAATAAAAACTTTGCTGCAGAAATTTATTTTTTTTTTCGTTGACTAAAAATCTACACGTGTCCATTTTAGAACTTTAAAAGAATATTAAAACATAAAATTCCTTTTAGATTGCTCGATGCAAGGAAAAAGAATTATATATTTCATATTTATTTATATATTTCGATTCACTCTTGTTTATAATGCTAACCAGAACGACAAAGACCCTGTAAGCGAGTTCTAGAATTGGCGACTACATTCCCCGAAGGTGGGTAAGACTCACTCAAAACACTAAAGGTCTCACACTAGCAAGTAAATGCTTACAGACTCAAATATAAACAACTAGTGTCTACCTATCCTCGTATCAATTAAATGCTTTCAAACTAACATAAAAACAACTAATATTAACCTAGACCTGGGCCATGGATAGACTCCATATATAGATGACCAATATTCGCTTGATCAAATAAATACTAATCTCAAATATAGACTAATATTTAACTATTCCCGAACCAAGGAAATACTTACAGACTGAAATGTAAATGGCTAGTATTAACTTACTGTCGAAATAATTAAATACTTGTATACTCAAAAAACAGCCAATATATTGCTATTCTTGGACCAAATAAAAATAGGTAGATAATAAATAATCAAAATTTGCCTTAGTTTTTTAAGTTATATATATATAAAATCAATATATATATATATATATATATATATATATATATATATATATATATATATATTTATTTAAAAATATGATTCCAAATCGCGACATAAGAAGTCCCATGTTTCAAAACAAGAGCCGAAAACTTCAATATTTAAATTATTTAAATTAAATTGAGTTAAAATAAGCTCTGTTCCATCTTCAAGCGAATTTTTTTTTTTTGGAATAACGTATTTCTGAAATTTACTTGTTTTAAAAATTGAAATGAAAATTTCCATGGTAACAGCTAGGGCGAATTGTTTAAATTGGGTAGGCGGGTGTTGGGTGTTAATAATAAGTATCAGTTACTTTCATAGATGTCAAGTCAGGGAAAGGTGGGGGTGTCTATATTTGAAACGGAAGATGTATTAACCCTAGTCTAGTTTGCATGTCTATGGAGATTTATTTATTTTTATTTTATTTTTTTATGAAAGGGATTTGTGCATATAAAAAAAAAAAAAACTGTCGTAACGTTTGTTTTTGACGACTTCATAAAGGGTTATCTTTTTTTTTAGGGTATTTAAACTATTTATTTCGGCTATGGATTATGAAGGGTGTTATATTGTATGCATGTTTTTAGTTAATTATTCAAACCATGAATCTGATGATTGGGCTATGGATTAAACAAGTTATTATATTGTATGCTTTTTTTAGCTAATAATTCAAACCAAAAATCTGATGATGTCTACAAAAACCGTTAACTCGTGTCTATTGTTTAATAGATTATTATTATTTAGAAGCTTAATTATGTGCAATTTCTCATGGAGGCATAAAGGGTGGGTCATCCCAAGTTTTACATGTTCTAGCCTTGTTCTATATATATATATATATATATATATATATATATATATATATATATATATTTAAAGGACTGATTTCGACATTAAATACCCCAACAATGGTTGACATTAATCAATCATCCAAAATAATGACTCGACCGCCAATCGTTTATCCTGATATGTCGAATGTTATTAATCAACTTTGTCTTTCTTTATCATTTCAGTCTTCCTACGGTGGATACGTTTACTCCTATTCGTTAAAATCCGTTCCAAATCTCAAACACTCCGAAGGAGCCGTTCTCAACGCATGTTTCTGGGTAAGTTTAAACCTTTTCTTCATTTCTTCACTTTCAAATAAGCAGTTTGATTGCTCAAACTTAAATTCTATGATTGAAAGCTAAATGAACGATACACCTCTAAAAGTGGAAGGTATTGAGTACACTCGCTACTAATATGAAATCATCTCACAGGGCTTCTTATATAAGAACCGTGTTTTTGGAATCTGGCTGCAAACATGAGAGAGAAACTCGTGAAATGGTGTAACGCTTCAAGTAACTAATCCTACTAGGTACAACTAGATTCTTCTTCTATGTACCATGTCTCTGTCCCACTGATCCCAAGAGCGAAACCGTCAGGAGTTTTAGCTTCTGTAAAGCCACCCAGGGCAGTAAAGTCGAGATGGACGGACCAGACTGAACGCGACAAACCCCCAAAGACCCCCAACAGCGGAATAGGCAAACATCTACACGATCACAACGGCCAAACAAACGGAAGAGGGCATCGCCAATCGGGCTGGCGTAACCGAGGCGGACCTTGACAGACCAACTATCCGACAGCCCGATGCAACAAGCTATGCCAGATCTCGTCTGTCAAAATCCCATTTCTGCGCAGTGAGGGAGTCGCTTCTGGCCAAGTGAGTGGGTCTTCTCCGTCACGCAGAGTTGTCCGCCAAAGTTAAATTCACGCGAATGGCTTCGTTAAACTCTAAAGGTAGGTTGGACATTCAACACCTTCTCTGCCAGCGCCACCAGAGGGGAGAAAGGGGATAAGGAGAGAGGATGACGACTTTGATGTTTGGATGCAAGCGGTGTACCGATTACTGTGTCTCTTCAGTACGTGAACAATCATGGCCCTCCACAACTTCTTATAGCTCTTAGTTTTATCTTTTCGCTATCCCTACCAATCTCTGTTCTATCATCCATTTATAAAAGCTTGTTAGGTAGCTTACTCGCCTCCTCACTCAATCGCTTTTGCATTTATTATGTCTTCTGAGTGTCAAATTCTCCAAGCTCTCTTTCCTTATTATGGGTCCCAAAAATTTCAACTGACTCTTTCTGGTTTTAAATATAAGCGTCCTTTTTGTTTTGGTTATCCTTAAAACTTCCTCGTTACTCATTTATTCAGTCCAAGGTATTCTCAGCATCCTTCTGTTGAAGAACGTTACTCTTCTCAGCTGTGCGGAAACTGTCGAACATTCACTGCAAAATGGAAGCATTAATATTACATAACGATTCAGAAACTCTTTTTTGTTGTTGTTGTTGTTGTTTCTAACGAATATTTCCTGTTTCTTAATACTTTACTTAGTTTAAAGAATGCAATTTTTGTTATCCAATGCGCATTTCCATTTCCGTGTCACATTTTTCATCTGTTAAAACACTTCCCATATATTTAAACTTCTGTGCTTTGATTTTAATATCTTTAATTCGTAATTCGTATGTTGGGATTTCCCTCTAGCTGACAACCCTGCTTTATGCCATCTTAGAACTGATGGTTAATCATTTCTTCTCACTTTCTTTTACGACCATGTCTCCTTATATTTATTTAATTTTTCTTCGAGACATTTTACAATATGAGGGTGTGTCTAAATAAGCAATTCTTAATTTCACCTTTTTTACGCAACGGGCTCACGAGAATCAAATATGTTCGCAATGTGAAAGCAAACTTTCAGTGGGATGACTTCTGATTGGTTTTTCTAGGTTTTTTTTTATTTTTTTATCTGACTTGAGTTACATTATCGGATCAAAGGGTATTATGCGTATCCCGTAAGATAATGGTAACGTCTTGGTTGGTTTGAATCAGTCCCGTCGATAGGAACAATTACAATGACTCAGCAGTCCGATTCTTTGAATGACAATCTGCATTGCATCGGTAATGCAGACGAATCTAGAGCGTGAACTTTTTTTACCCTCTTTGCGTCTTACTTCATCTTCCATCCTCCATCTGATTGTTACGCTTGTCAATGCCTATATAGATACCTTCTCGAATACTCTATCATCTATTTGTGCAGTCATCAAGTTGCTCCCAGTTATAAATAATAGCTATGTTAATATAAATTTTGTTTTCTTTCATTACTAATGGGGTTTTACAAGAGGGTGTCAATTTTTCTATTTTTTTATTTATTTATTTATTTATTTATTGGAGGGTTTCTTGGTCGGGCCAAGATATTTTTGCATCCCACGCGCATATGAAAATTTATATTTAAAAGTTTTAAACCTTCAGGAGAGCAACTCTTTGCGCTTTTTCTTGTTCTCACGTTTTCCACTGACATTAAGTGGAGTGATTATATTGAATCAATTGCTAGATCGGCTGCTAGAAAGCCTGGTTTACTGTGTTGTGTCAGACATTTTTTCCTCGTGAGAATCCATCTTGCATATTTAGAAATTTACCATTCTTCCGTGCATTGAATATTGCTGCCATATCTGGTCTGGTGCTCCTACTATGTATCTCGAGATTACCGTGAAAATCCAAAGAAGAGTCTGTAATATTATTTGGTCCTGACCTAGCATCTCGACTTCAGTGATTTTTACACCGCCACGATATGACTTTCCTTTATCTTTTTTTATAAATATATAACATGGCAGATTTATCTTGAAACAGTTTAATTTAACCGTAAGCTCTATTCTAATTTTTTTTTCTTGAACTTCTCACCTGTGGAACTCTCTTCCGGTTTCTTGCTTCCGTTATCTACAGTCTTCAAAATATTTAAATGCAACGTTATTTGCCATTTTCTGTCTTCCTGAAACCTTTTTTTTTATTCTCCTTTCTCCTTACTAACGTTTTTTTTGTTTTTTGTCTTTTTTTTTTCTTTTTTTTCATTTTCTTCCCCTCGTAGTTACCCCTTGCGTTTTAGAGGCGTTGTCGCCTCGTCTTGCTTGGGTCGAAGTGATTAAAAATACTTTCATAATCATATTAATAATTCTAATCTTTCTATTTCAGGGAACGTTTGCAGTCGGTCGACTCTTCGCTATTGTACTTGCATCAAAGTTTACTGCAGGGTTCATGCTCCTTTGGGACATTGTGAGTGTCTTTTCTACTCTGACCAAAATTTCGACCAAAATAAATGCGAGTTTCATTAGAAGAGAAAAATTCACTAAGAAGATAATGCATTGAAAGTGCACTGATCTCATAATTTTATATGGTCAATCTCACACCGGGTTTATATATACACTTATCATCGATCATCGCAAATGCGTTAGAAGCACAATGCGGTATACGAATTAAAAAAGAGAGATCTACTCGGTGTGGGTTAATTTCAAATCCAGTAGAAGTTAACAGCTTCAATATGGCAAAAGAAAAAAAATATGGGCGTAGCATCTCATAAAATTATTTATTATCCCTTACTCAAAAATTTCAACCAGTTTCCTTACACACGGATTTGTTTCTCATTCCGACCTGAAGACGCCTGCCATAATGCTTCTATTTTTTTTTAACTTTATCTTATTATCTTTACATTCTTTTCTTGAAAAACTATACCGAAGCAAAATATAGCGATGATTTTATATTGAATTTTCTATTAACTAAGTACGTATCAAATATCGGGTTACAAGCTCCTGTTAAAAAATGGAAACGCCAAAGTAGTGACAGACAACTAAAAATAGAAAAATATGCATGGAAATGATTAAGAAGAAAAATAGAAGCTTTCATATATTAAATAACACATTATTCCATTAAGAGATGACCTGTAAATGCTTTATTACTTGCTTATAAAGGAATTTGAATGGGAAACTCTTAAATAAACGACAATTTTTTTAAATATTTTCTTTTTCGTTCTTCATAGTGATTTTAAGGAGATGTTTTGTATCACTGTATTTTGTGTCTTTCAAGCTCATTTCCTCGTCTTTGTTGCTATTTTACCCACAATAATAACGCTACAATACCCTCTGACCCGTCTCTTCTTTTTTTTTTTTTTTTTTTTTTTTTTTTTTGACAATGTCGAACGTAGTTCCGAAGGGGGTCTGTTTCTCATCCCATATACTATAGCCGAGGAAGGTCAGTGTGTATAGCGGCCGAAATACTATAATACTAACAAAGATAAAAGTAGTATGAATGAAACAAAATAGTTATTTTAATTGTAGCGTCTTTAGTAAACGTTGTATTTAACTACAGGTTATATGACACTATGTTTAGTGTGGAAATGACATCTCGAAGATTGACTGGCGATTGTAATTTAGTCTAAGGGAGAAAATATTTTTTCTATAAAAAAAAAGATCTTAATTAATTTTAAGACTTATATCACACTAATTTAAACAAAAACATTAAGAAGGAGATCGCCAACAATACTAAACAGAAAGATAACAGTGGACTTGAGAAACATGTTTTCTTGAGAAATTGTTTTAAAAGCTCGATTTTATACATTTCAACAATAACAGTTCTTTCAATGAATTCCGAATGTGTTTCCGGATAAGAAAACGGATAAACTCATCGTTATCATTACCTCTGACATACTCAAGATACTGAAGTCCTATATTACTTCAAACAAAAAGTTACGATGGAAGCCCGCATCAGTATTGGAAAGAGTAATAACAGCACCTGGGCTTGAGAAACCTATTTTCCTGAAATTAAGAGAATTTTCAGAGAAAGATTGAATGATTCTAAAATATGTGATCTACCTTAAAGAAAATTATCTACATGCGCAACTTTACTTAAATAGCACCTAAATAGTGTTGCAGTTTTTTGGGTATGTTTACTAGTGAGTTAGCCCAAATGACTTGACTTACTTTATAGTCCGCCAATAGAAGGTTAACCAATCAGAAGACGTAGAATATTCAATCCGTCGTGTATAAAGGCGGCCATTTTCTTTACTCTATCCGAATGTCCAGTGCCAGCTTGTCAGGCGAAGAGGAACAGAAGGAAGAACTACGCTCTGCTACTTTACCGGGATATCCACTGCTAACCTGAACTACGCTTCCCTACTGTCATCGAAATATTTCCTCACGCAATATTTTAATAAGGAAAATCAATAGAAAACTCCAGCCAAGTCACAAAGTATTCTACTCACAATCAACTTTTAATTCCTGTCTTATAAGTGTTCAATGTAGCCACGACATGCAGCATGGGCAACATCAACGCGTCAAGAGAATTTCTCCCAGACGCGTATCAACATACCAAGATCCACTGAGTTGATCGTTGTTGTTATTCTATGTTTAAGGTCATCGGAGTTATTGGGTAGCCGTGGAACATAAACGCGATATTTTACATATCCCCACAAGAAAAAAAATCACACACAGTGAGGTCAGGGAGTCTCACAGGCCAAGCACAAAGAGCAAAGTCTTGGTAAGTGCCTTAAGGAGACAGTCTGTAAGGTTTCAAATGTAGACGTCTTCTTAGCACACGCCATATAGGGAGATTGAGAGATCACAAGCTCACGGCATAGCTCGATTTGTGAACTTCCCTGGACTCCCCTCAAACGCAGCACGGATTCTCGTCATTTGTTCCTCCGAAACTTGTGATCGTGCTGGACTTTTTCCTTTACACAGACACCGACTATACTGAAACTGTTTAAACCACAGTCGAATGTTCTTAGGAGAGGGAGGATTAATGTCGAATTGCCTTCGAAAAGCACGCTGCAACATGACAACCGTATTTGTTTTAGCGAACCAGAGAACGCAGAACGCCTTTTGCTGAGGATTCGCCATTTCGAGGGTAAAAAAACAACTGAACGTTGCTGGAGATACGACACAACTACAGTGCCCCTGTGAAATCCATTCAAAACTTAGAAAACTCCTCTTTCAAATGGTCACTGACTCATTCCTTGACGATGCTTGAAAACTGAAGCAATGCGTCATGAAATCGGGTCATTCTTTTTTAATAAACCTGTATATTATATAAAGACCACTTCTTTTTCTTTTCTTAATCCGTATATATCTATATTTCGTGCATATTTTTAATGTAGATAACTTTCTCAACTCGTAGATCACATAGTTTAGTGGTGTGTTGTTCTGGTAGATCAAACTCGGAAGGTAGATCACAGACTTAAGTAACAGCGAAATTTCTTATTAGTTTAAGGAGGGGTCAAAATAATTTGTTATCGCTAGCGTCTTCTGTTTTAACACATAATTCGAATGGTCGATATGAAATATAAGTAAATTTAAGTTGCAGGGATCATAATCAATGAATATATAGTTAGTAAAAAGGTAAAGCTGATCCTCCATACGGGAGAGTACCTTATATACTGAGTGGAAAAGAAACAAGTCCATCTCCGCTAGAAACCACGTTTTCTTATAGTTTTTTTCTGAAATATCAGTTTAAAATGCCTTCCTTTTTAGTTAAATATACAAAGTATTTTAGATTCAAAACTAAGTATATTTCACTGATATCAAAAAATTAGCTGAAGACTTAATGTAGTTTTCACTCTTAATTATTCTTCAGTTACTACAAAATGTTCTTTTTGTTGTTTGAATTCGTTAATCCCTTATTCTAATCCCTTATTCTATTTCTTTATTCTATTCCCTTATTCTAATCCCTTATTCTATTCCTTTATTCTAATCCCTTATTCCATTCCTTTATTCTAATCCCTTATTCTATTCACTTTTTTATTCCCTTACATATAAGAAAATGTTAGATTTTTTAAGTAGTATTTTCTATTGCTTTAGCGTCAAATAAATGCTGACTTACCATCAATGTTGTTTCAACTTGAAAACACTTTGCAAATCAATGTGACTTCTCATTTTCCGTATGACAGATCGTTTCTAAGAATGTCTGCTTACTTCCATTTGTCCTTCTTCAACACCTACAGAGACAACCTGTAGTTTTATTGAAACTATGCTGAGTGGACATTCAATTGTGTGCCCCACCATGGTCACTTACAGTTTTGAATTCAGAGTTGTTCTACACTGGTTGCCAACGATGGCTAGGGAGTCAAGTTTGCTCTTCTATTTAACCGATAACTGATTCAGTTGTACCTTTCCATGAGTACTTGTGCGAAAGTGAGTGTAACGAACTAGACCAGAATTCGAACTCGGTTCGCCAATTTATTTTTCCGAGCCTCTAATCATTACGCCACCTGCACAGCCCATTATTATCAAAAACTGACTGATACTCTATAAGTCGGTTTTAATGTCGCCGCAAACCCTGTTTAAAACCTTGAAACGTGTGTCTTAATGTGCGCCTTAATAGGTAAATAGAATATAATTTCTTTCTAAATAAATTATGACCAAAGATTTTCATTAACTAATGACATTTTCAACAGTAAGCTATAACATGTTTCTTTCTAACTTCTTCCCTGTTTAGTTTATGATACATTTATAGCATATACTAGCAGTAGAGCCCGGCGTTGCCCGGGATGTAACAGTAAGAGATAAATCAAGTATCGACCATCATAAAGACTGAAAAATAAAATTGACAAAGATTATTGTTTAAGGTTGACGGACACGCATGTCTTAATTAGTTTTTTTTTTTTTTTTTTACGAATTGGTCAAACCCAAACTCAAACAAAAATATTGTTTTCAATCGTTATGAGTCTACCGATTGAATAGAATTTTATTATAAACAATTGTCTTGTAAATGGAATTTTTAAAACATTCTGAATGTAAAAATAAAGACAAAAGTGTGCAAGACAATAAGAAACTGAATTTTTGTTGAAATCAGTTGAAAAATGTAAGAAATCCGATCCCATATATAAATGAACACACACACACACAAACAAACAAACAACCTGGATTTTATAATAAGTATAACTCGATATGAGTTGTCCCCCTTTCATTCTTGCGTCAGCGATGACTCTTAATCGTGTTTTCAAATTGATTTCGTGCAAAAACAATTGTGTTTTTCAATTTTTGGCGCTGTCAGAACCACCGCAAGGTAATTTTACGTAGTCCTGTGAAGTTTTGTTGAAATCCGTTGAAAAATGTAGGAAATCCAATCCAATATATAAACGAACACACACACACACACACACACACACACACACACACACACACACACACACACACACACACAACCTGGGTTTTATAATAAGTATGATTATAATTTCCAATAGCAAAGGTTTTTTTTTTGGTTTTTTTTTGGGGGGGGTTGCTATTATCCTTTTTTTCAGAATTTAATTATTTCCTTTTCTTTTTTTTTTTTTTTTTTTTTATAGCTCGGTGCCTGCTTTTCCATGACCCTGACTGTAATTCTAAGAACGAACCATATCGGAATTTACGTGGGTACATGTTTCTTGGGCCTCTTTCTCAGCAGTGCATCGCCAACAGTCCTCTCTCTTACGGAACAATTTATTGACATCAATCGTACGTATACATTCACATGAGATTATTTAAAGATTAAAAATCGTTCACTAATTTTGCAAATTATCGAGTTTGTTCCTCGACCGAGTTAGGATTACTGATATAGTCACGTAGCCAATTATGGCCATATCAAGAAATATCGAAAGTAGTAATCGCTTGCGAGATTGACGTTCTAAATATCGCTCTAAAATAGATAGATGTTTTGCAGGTTTCGTTTTGTCCAATAATTATCTGCAAAAATAGAAAGTCTAGAAAACTAGAAACTTTCGTAATGGCTGGCATCAAAATTGGCTTGAAATTTCAAAAGGAAGAACACCTACAAGCGAGTCATTAAGGGTTTATAACTCATTCGTTGCTCAATGAATGAAATTCTTGATCAAAGTATTGACAAAAGAAATTGCACCCAAGACATAAAGGGGGAAATAAGATAATCCCAAAATATAAACTTGATCATTAAAACCTGATTAACCCAACAAAAATGCTCGTTAGGAGATTTGACGATGTTACAAGCATTCTGGGTCATTTAATATCGAAATATTCTTATAATTATTGACTCTAAAGGCAAACATTGCTCGGATTTATACTTGAGTCTGCAAGCATCCGCTCGAAAGATGGCTCCTTTTTCGGTTTTAACTCTATGTTGGGGATGGAGTAGATTTATTCTAAGCCCGCGAGCAAGGCAAAAATGTGGTATGTGCATTTCCCAAGAGGGATACACGTATACTAATTAATACCCTGATATTTTGGGATGCACGTATACTAATTAATACCCTGATATTTTGGGATACACGTATACTAATTAATACCCTGATATTTTGGGATACACGTATACTAATTAATACCCTGATATTTTGGGATACACGTATACTAATTAATACCCTGATATTTTGGGATACACGTATACTAATTAATACCCTGATATTTTGGGATGCACGTATACTAATTAATACCCTGATATTTTGGGATGCGATATTTTAATACCCTGATATTTTGGGATGCACGTATACTAATTTTACCCTTAAAATTTTAGGAACAATGCCAAACAAATTCAGATTTTCTTAATAGGAACAAACCGAAAATACATTTGTCCAGCTGTACGATATATTGATTTATGATCTAATATAGTCTTATATTTTTTACAGCATCAATTACATCAACGATTGTCGTATTTTCTGGTATTGGGGAAACATTGTGCCCAGTTATAGTCGGCAATGTAAGTATTTCAACATTATTTTGGCGTTTTTCATAATACATACACACATTATCATCTCGTCCTGGGTATGACTATAAACTACATTTGCGTCTTGGGTAAGACGATAAACTACGCCCGACAGCAAGGCCGCTGACCAAGAGGTTTTGAGGAGCGTGGAACCACCTCTTAACTGCTGTTGTTCCCAGGTCCACCCTGGCCTGAGGTGTTAGCACCTGTTAGGGTCCCAACCATGGGAAAAAAGTTAATCCCTAAACTTGGGTCAAAATATTATGAAAGTCTAAAAATAGGTTTTAATACCAGAAATACTTTGTAAAAAATTATTACCAGCAACACATTTTTCAAAAAAAAATATTACCAGCAATATATTTTTGAAGGAAAATATTATCAGAAATAAAA